GAGACACGTGGTTCCATTGGAGTCAGCTGAGGAGCCACAACGCACGCTGCAGGGCATACAGGAGAATCTACAGTCTCAACCTGCGGTTGAGGAGTGTCTGAGGCACATCACTGCGCGGAGGAGGATCTGCATTTCCGGGCAGAAGTCTGCCGAAACCACTTCATTTTCCTGAATTACAAGGCTTAAAAGGCCCGGATAGGCACAATAATCCTGTTCCGGTGTCCTTCCATTGAGAAGAGGAGATTGCAACCTCTCCTTAAACTCACTGTTATATTGGCATAATACTCCAATTTTCAGTGAGCAACGGACACTCAGGTGAAAACCTGAGGTTTACAACCGAGGAGGAACACGTGAAGGATTAGGCTGCAAGATCATCATTAACTTATCTTCTTTTTATTGCGTGTTTTCGTTTTTTGCGAACTCTTCAAGAACATTCGATTCTTTTTGCGCGTATTTTTGGCGTTTCCTGACGAAGAATTCATATTCATTTTTGAAAGACTATCGAAGGAGCATAGAGACGAACTCTAACTTCTTATTGTTGAATTGTGAAAAAAAGAAAAAAAAAAAAAGGTCTTTTGTAATTTTTATGTGTTTATGATGTATTTTTTTATGTTGTTATTGTTTTGTATTGACAAATTGTAATTTTTGTGGCGAGTATTGTCTTTTAAGTCTGCTGAGCATTTTTTAGTAATTTCGAGATATCTTACTCTGGTTTTCTAATTTTATACTTGGGCTGATATTTCTATTGTGTGTTTTCTTCTATTGACATAACTGAGTTTTATGATTTTTCATGTTTGATAAGTGAAATGTATTTTTAGTTTAGTTTTTACTGGTTAAAATTTTGTGGTTCATCAGGTGAGTATTAAATTGTTGGACAGCGCAAGATACATTTGATAAGTTCAGATACTGGAGTTCAGCTTCAGACACATGACCTGGCAGTGGAACTAGGAGGTGCTGTTTAAAAAGGGGACTGTTATAAAATTGGGCTAATGTTTTAGTTTTTTAGTATACTAAATAGTTTTTTGGTTCCTCTATTAGAAGGCTTAATCAATTTATTTGTGAGGTCTGTATGTCTCAGACCTCAAAACGGGGACTGTTAAAGAAAAATGATTATTTTTTAGACTTTTAATACAGTTAATCTTATGGCATGTGTAAACACTCTCACTTGAACATATTTCTTATTTTGAACAAGTTTGTGAAGATAACCTTTCCTTGAACCAGATTACTAAATTTAAGTTTGTTCCTGAGAATTTATGGTGAGGCCCCCCGCATTCCACAAGCTGTCTGTGGAAGCTTATCTTGTGTTTTATGACTTTAAGAATTCTAGATGCCAGGACAAGCTTTCCGCCTTTTCTTGTTAAAACAAAGAAGCAAATGACCCCAGATGTTTGCAGTAAATTAGGTGAAGCTCTAGGCAGTGTCAGAGATGGCTTCTGGTTGGAGGACCGAGGGCCAGCCTTTTTTGAATGGATTAGATACAAGAGGATAAAGCTTTCTAAATAGAAGTTACAGATCAGATTTGCCCTTGCAACTCTCCAAAGATGTCTCTGTACTCTTTGCTTTCTTTCCTCCTATGTCAGGTAATGGAATGTATGTCTCTGTTGTTCTGCAGTTTTGTTGTTAATTCATAAGCTGTTTTTTGTTGGATTAAATTCTGTGATTCTGTGACGTTCGCATATCTTGCTGGTTTTCCTTGGGGGCCACACGCAGCTCGCTGAGCGCACCTGGGAGAGGAAGAGAAACACCCAACCTTTTTCCAAAGTTAACTATTTAGAATATTTTCTTCCTTAACAATATATACACACACACACACGTATATATATATATATATATATATATAAAACCAAATAAGGCCTTAAATAGAGAATACAGATACAATCATGCATAATAAAAGTATGTTAAATAGTGGGAATAATACAGTGCAAATAAACAGAAACAATCAAACCAAAAAAAACTAACTCTGCCAGCCATGGAAGGGAACAAGGAGTACTACACACCAAGAGGGAATGGGACTGGTAAGAAACTCTGAATCCAGCTATGCACAGTATTAACCAATTTTCATGACAGCTCCCAGGAATAAAAGCAACAGCTTGAATCCCTGTGACATAATAAAACAGCAAAATGCTGTTTAGAGCAGCATTTCTTCGGCTTTGCCCTTATCTCTTCACAGACTGCATTGAGAGGACAAGCACATGAATGTCTGCAACTTGCTGGCCAAGTAAAAGACTGGATTTTAAACAGAAAATGCTTGCATCCAAAGGAAAATACTTTCTGCTCTTTCTGTATCTGGTGACCCTAAGCCCCGGCTAACTTAACCTGGTTGTCTGAGGTCCTAACAAAGAATCTGAGCCTAAGATTATCCAAAAAGTGATGGGTTCTCTCTAATGAAGAAGCAGGATGCCTTCCACTGCTCTAAGGTACACAGACTTTCAATGCAAGTAGACAGTCTTCTCTGGTACTAGACTAGGAGCCCCAGTCACATCTTCTCTATTCATCAAACCTGCAGAAATCAACGTGTTCTCCTCTATATCAGAATGGTTCAGAGTGAGAGGTTTTATTTGGACAGAGAAAACTGGTTTATTTACAATAATTTATAATATATGTAATGTTTGCACTGTTTTTACAATTTCATGTGATGCTTAAATGTTTGACTGATGTACTATTATTCTTAATTACAAATATTCAAAAATTCTTATTGAAAATTTATATTTGAAGTTTTTTATTATAACAAAAACATCTGCAAAAAATTTATATTTTACAACCACATTTAATAAAATGAACTATCATTTAACAATCATTCATTGAATTTGCAATAATGTGGTCCTTCAAACCAGTTGGGGACCTGGGTTTTGTAAAGCACTAGCAAATGTTAACATTTTCTTTTACACAAATAAACAGAAAACAATTTGGAGCTTTTGGAACAGGTGAAAGCTCTTTGTCATTAAAATACGTAGAAGTAAAAGAGGATTGGCTATCTGGAGAACTGAATTTGTGCCCTGGAGCTGTTACAAGGATTAATGACATTATCATCACTGGGCTACAGATTAAATCCCAGTCATACACTCAAGCAGCGGATAATGACAACAGAGGAGAACTGGGAGAGCTGCATTGTGAATCTCCAGAACAAAAGGTTGCTAACTTTCTCCATTCCTGTGGGATAAACCTGAACTGTGAGCTCATGCTAGTAATTCCTAAGCCAATAGGCCATAAACCACACAAGGTCACAGTGGGAGAGGAAGCTGTTAGCCAAGGCTAGCGCATGTGCAAGGTGAAAAGCTTGAAGCATGTGGTCATTGAAAGATGAGAGAAAGGAGAAAAACAGAGAAAGAGTCTAAACAATTTAGCTGAGTGGAGGCTCAGACTTAACACATAGTAAAACACTAAAAGCCAAAACATGCAGAACATGATGTGTAACTAAACAGGTTGAAATGAACAGGTCACAAAAAGCACTCAGCAGAAAGTTTAAAACAAATCTTCCACAGGACTAAGCACCAGTATTTAAAACTATTTTCAAAATATTTACGTGCCCAGAAAAGTTTCAATGACAAGAAAAAGCAACTTTGTTGTTGTCTTATTTGCAATAGGAACACTGTGGTTCTTGAATAAGCTTGGAAAATCCTCTTTAATTTAAGAGCTGGTGAGCCTAATGTTACATTAGTTTGGGTTGTGCTTTAAAGCTGGAACAAACTTTGATGGTCCAGTAATATAAGCTTGCTCAATTTCAATCACAATAACCACCTAAAACAATCCTTATAAATGCTTAAGTTGTTTTCCTCATCCCAGCTGCTAATGCTAAGAAAGAAAACCACCATTAGTAACGCTCAGCCATGCTGCTTTGTGCACTCTTTGAAGATCATGTTATCCTACTGCAATGGTAAACTGATGTTGGAAATCAGTTTAATAGGTCCAGCAAAAAATAAATCACAGGAAAAAATATAAACTCTCTACCAATTCTAAAACCAAACACTCAGTGTGTGTTTTGATTCTCTAAATTGGATAGAACAATATTACTTTTCCAAGTCTTAGAATAAACATGGCTGGTCAAATAAAAAAAACTAGTATAATTGATTCTAAAACTGCTGCACAGATAAATCTAGTAGTATTTACCTGTACAACATAGAACCCATTTAAAATGTTCTAAATTATGAACAAAGTATGAATAGAAACACAAAGTGGACAGCTGTGAGCAGAGAAGAGCTGGCTGCTACTGTGCCGTTGATGCATCTATTTAATCTATTGGATTTTGTGATGAGTTTTAACCCAAATTAATCTGGCTTTGGTCAAAGTTCCAACATAAAAAGGGCCTGCTAATTAAAAAAGAAAATAGCCTATTGTGACAACCAATCCAAGACAACTAAATGAATGTAACACATGTAAAAAATGTTGACAATGTTATTAAAACTATTTTAAAACAAAATATTGTTAAATATTGTGAGTGAAAGATTTATTGGGAATTAAAACATAAGAGGTAGGGCAGTCATACAGTCTACAGGCAAATAGGCTATATATCAACATCTTATATATACAAAATATCCCATCTAAAATAACTTTAGAACAATAGTTTTTCAATTATTAAGTACAAACTAGGGAATGTCAGCTTGCTTAAAAAAAATTATTCTTAATTGACTCTTTCTGATACCGAAATACTAAGAAATGTTAAATGTTGACAAAAAAAAGTATTCTATTACCAGAAACCCAAACAGGTGAAAAGATTTTATTTTTTATTTTTATTTTAAGTCCCTTTGCAATAGAGTTTGTAAATACCTCAGAAAAATGTATTTAATAATGTCTTACTTATTATATAAGGCTTCGGAATCTACATGACAGCAAGTTATTATTTAACCTTAGCACTAATTTGGCTTCTTTTGTCCTTTAATGCCACCATAGGCATTTTGACCAAATCATAACCTCTAAACTCCTTGGTCAAAATCTCTACAAATGTGCTTCTTTAAAGTTCAATAAAGAAATAGGGTTGACAAGTAAAAAGAACTTTGCCTTACCCCTCCAGGGTTGCCGTCTGAAGCAGTGACAATCAGACGATACTGTTCTGTGGATTCTCTGTCCAAAGGCTTATCCAAAAGTAAAAGGCCAATCCTGTTGAAAGAGTTCAGAGCAGGTATTACTAAACAGAAAATGGTTGAGATGTGGCTTTATTTAGTTTAGCTCCTTATTCTTTTATTGCAAAATATGATATATTTTATCATTCATGTATAACACATCATTTACAGAACCTTACTCGATATTTGACCTTTTACAAAGTGTCAGGAAGAGAAGAACATACATTATTTTTTTATTTGAGATTTATAAAACATTTTTCACAGACCAAAGAAGATCAGTTATGGGTAAAGCAGGAGTTTAACTGCTCTGACTTTATCTTGCCTTCAGGTAGTCAAGCATCACAGCCAAGTGGTAAATTGACTAAAGACAAAGATTTTAACTTCCTTTCTAATGCTGCTCATTCTGGACATATAATTTGGAAACAAAATGTTTATGGATTCTTGCACATAAGGCTCTTACTAATATTATCTCTATTTATACATGACATACCAGGACAAGTCAAGCCACACACAAACTCAGAGACAATTTTGCTCCTGCACTCAAGAGAGCATGTGCCAGAAGGTAAAGCAGAAGGAAAGATAAATGCATCTGAACCTGGTGCTAAATTAATGCCTGTAGCAATGCCTCAATGTCCCCCACTCCTTCACATCTCTGATTTAAAACTATTGTGGCAAACCAGTCCAGGCAAACCCTAACCAATACATTTCTCTTCAGACTCTATTATCCTGAAGCTACTATTTTCAAGCTCTTTTAGGCATTTTACTGAAATTCTGTCAATGCAATCTGTATCTAAGTAGATGCCACACGGTAAAAAGAAGAGAACTGTTTTAAACCTCTCACTTTCAGTCATCCTTGTGTTAAGATGGCAAAAATAGCCTTAAAAATCACAATAAATGTGAAATGTTAATTTTACCAACTGGTATTAATACATAAAGAGAGTAGAAACATGTGCATTGATCTTAGTAAAGGCATCGCTAGTTTATCATGATAATGATTATCTTGATGGGTGATAAAGGTAATGGGTAAAATGATTAATTCAACTACATTAAGAAAACCCTTGGGTGGTTATTCTTTTGCTAAAGCTGGATAGTTGCACTACAGTCAAGAGGGTGAGTATGAGAGCTCCACTGATCAAGTGTGATAACATCCCGCCTCCTTTGCCCAGACACCATAAATGAAAGATGTTGTCAGATGTGCAGGACACTATTAACAGCATTGTCTGGGGTGTCAACAGTATGGTCTGGAGGCTATCCTCCTCACTCACACTAACAGCTGATCTTTGATTCTGCTCAGATCATGTCTCTCTATGGCACATTGGACTTGATGCTGAAGGTGTGAGTTCCCAGTTGCATAAATGCTTTACTCTAGAGAAGACTAACACGTAAATAAAAAAACTGGAATTCAGTTTCAGACAGACTAAACCTCAAAGTTTACGTGCAGCAGCAGAAAGTGTCAAATTTGAACGACGATGTCTAGATTTTCATAAGACATATTTAGTTCAAATTAATCCTGACCAAGAGGTACACATTAGAAGAAGTAACATTTATCAGATTGCTACCCAAAACACACATAAACATAGGAGCATGAAATTAAGAATCAATGACCTATAGGTTTAACTCAGAGACAGTCTTGTAACTGGGGTCAGTTTCAAAAAGTAGGTTTACTGAAACTCTAAGATATCTAAACCCAAAATCAGGGATACTCCCTCAGACCTCTGTTTCTGTTACCGTAGTAACATTCTCCCCAGAGCTAACCTGGTCGGGAGCAGATTTAGTTCAGTAATCTCAGAGTGTCCTCCGTCTCTGCTCTCCTTACAGCCATTCATGTTGTTTTAGTCCCTGATTTAGACAGGAATTTTTTTATAGTATTATGCATACAATAAAAAAAAAAATCATTCACTAGGTCTGCTAGAAACATTAGGTTTTAAAAACAACCATTGCATGTCCTTTTGAAGAGGATCTTATAAAAAAAAAATGTCACCATCAATTCACAGAGAGTTAAACATTTATAGGGAGGAGATTCTAGGGAAAAGATAGGATATGAGATTTATATGTTTTTGGTTTGTTTAATATGAAAGACATGCAGATCATTTGTTATCTATTTTTACAGCTCATTAAAATGTACTGAAATTATTTTTTTAGATTACACATAAATAGATTAATAGATTAATTCATTCTGAAGTGAAAAAAACATTATTTCAGGGTTAGGATTAGGGTTCATTCAGTGATAACCTACTTAGTCTACTGGTATGTAGGAGGCACAACCTGAAGCCAATCTATGGGACCGATAACTGCTAATAACAAGCATTTAATGGGCTGCAAACACCCACTTAGTATTTACTGTGTAATGAAAGACAGAATCAACATGAGGAGGGACCATTATGATGCAACGGTCGTACCTATTTGAACAATATTTCTATACCTTATTTTCACCTGCTGAAAGGTGATTGCCCTTAAATAGATACATTGATCCACTACCATTATAGCATTAAACTTGCTTTACTCCATAATGTTTTGGGGTAAAACAAGTTTAAACAAGTTCAATATCGCTGTCACAGTAGGCTATTGCAGTCAATTTGATATTTATTGGTTTGACTGAATATCTACTTATTTCACATATCTGGGAAAAAAAAAAATTCCTTGTCAAAATGACATTCTTCACATCTAGTATAAACATACTAGGTGTCTGGAAAGGAATCTCAGATCTCCACAGTCCCTTTGTTACTGGTCAGCATTTGTATTATTTTGACTATGAAGAAATGTATTACACATCTCATAAACACATATTCAGTCAAGTGGATAAAAGTTAGTAAGACCACTTAAAATGTGTAAACATTTCTAAACATATAAAACTTCTTAGTGGTATGACTTAGTTTTTTACTTTCTGAAATTCAGTTTATGCTGCAAAAACTTGATGTCATTTTGATGATGTAGCGCTGTTTCTCTGTCTTTAAACATTATCCATTTTTTTATTTTTTTTTTCATTCCTGCATTAGAATCTCTAGTTCCGGTGGTGTGAAAACTTCCTGTTGCTGTCATGGTGACTCGTCAAATCGGTGCTCCACTGATAATGGCTTTTCCTACTTGTTATGCATATGCTTAATTAAACTAACCCACAGCAGCCATTGTGAAACCGAAAACTTGGAATGAGTTTCCGGCTTCAGACTGGATCCATTCAGAGGCTCTGTTCGAAAACCTAGGACGTGTCCTCCAAGGACGCGGTCTACCTAGACTGGATCCTTCGAAGTCCTTGAAAATAAGGAGACCGGAAGAGTTATGGCTGTGAATTCGACCAGGTCTACCCTTCGGCGGGTTTTACCGCCGTATGCTCTGTTGCTTAGCAACCGTGAACGTTGACACACAAAGCAGGAAAAGAATGAATTCAGAAGTTTTCAAAACTGTTTATTTATTTATTTTTTATTGTGAAGTGAACAAAGACTACACTCACAAGAATCCAGAATGGAATAAATGTTCCAACCACCGGGAGCAGGAACAAATGATAGAAACCTAAGTCAGTTAAATAAAATGCAGCTGTCATTTTGCACATCTCTGATGTTGCTGCTATTTTCAAATATCCATTACTGTAAAAATGTCCATAACTGCATATTGGTTATTTATTCCAGAAATTCCAGAAATTCATGGTTTTATATTGTTAAAACACTTGACAGTATTTTATTGTTTATATTTTAACTCTTCCCTATTATGTTATTCTTATACATTTTTCTAAGGTCCTCATTTGTATGACCATTTTCAATAATCTTTCTGCTGCTGTAAATTTGCCCATTGTGGGACAATAAAGGGATTTTCTATTCTATTCTATAAAAGGGGTAGAAAGATATAAGTAAATCTAAACAATGTATGTATAAAAATATATCTGCAAAATCTCTAATATTCAACAACAAAAAATACGTAGTTAAGCATATTGTGCAAAACAGCAATAAAAAGATAAAAATCCTATCAGATTTATAGTCCCCACCCTGCAAATATATTAGAATCTGTCCTTAAATTATAGCCAAACCCATTTACACAGTAACAGATTAAAACCTTTAGATAAATCAAACTTTACTGCGACATATCTGACTCAATAACCATTAAAACAACTATTTTTCATTAATCTCAGACGGAACTATTAAATGACTTGTATTATATTAAACTGAACTTCCAATTTTCACCACTGTTCGGCGCCAAGTAATCTTTCCTCTGATCACGGCTTGCTTGGTCTCGCAATGAATCCTGGGATATCCAAGAATACTGAGGATACATCAGACCCGTCCTTCAAATCGGGCAAAAAGAAGGACGCATTTTAAGGCTGCATAAGGAGGACTCTTGGAATCCGACCAGACCTCGGCGCCGCGCTATGACGTAATCGGCCTTCGAATCCGGTCTTCTAAGGATGCGTCCTAGGTTTTCGAACAGAGCAAGAGTTGAGGAAACGTCTGAGATTGATAAACCTTATTTGTGAAAGGGACCTTAAAGGTACAGGAGCCAAAACTTACCAAGAGTAGCTCCACCTAAACTTAGTGTTACTTAAGTAAAGTGGAAAGTGTCATTCACAAAATATTTAAGAATAAGGAATGGATTGGTAAAAAGGCTGCTCAAACTGGTCTTTTACACATGGATTAAATGTTCAAAAGGAAATAATCAGGTATAAAAACATATTGTTTGCCATTGTGGGATTTTTAAGACTTTAATAAAACAATTTTTAAGAAATACCATGATTGCACAATTGATCCAGGCAAAATAAATACTCCCCTTTAAACAACCTAAAGAGTTGAATTAAAAACAATAAACATATGTTTTGTGGTGCTTGTAGAATTATTTATTAAGTAATTGAGGAGAAAAAATGTTTTCGAATTGAAAAGGTGGCTTAGTTTTTCATTCAATATATGGCTTTATTAAATGCGATAAATTAATGACAGACCCTCCAATTAACTCTCCACTAGTAAAAATAATAGAATGTGAAAAGCTATGTCTTTCATACTGGTGCTTTAGACAGAAACAGAAATTGATCCTTGAATATTCAAAATATCTTTAGCT